TTCTGTGGTACAGCTGTAGTTTCTGTGGTACAGCTGTAGTTTCTGTGGTACAGCTGTAGTTTCTGTGGTACAGCTGTAGTTTCTGTGGTACAGCTGTAGTTTCTGTGTATTCCAGCTGTAGTTTCTGTGGTACAGCTGTAGTTTCTGTGTATTCCAGCTGTAGTTTCTGTGTATTCCAGCTGTAGTTTCTGTGTATTACAGCTGTAGTTTCTGTGGTACAGCTGTAGTTTATGTGGTACAGGCATAGACAAAGAAACACAAAGAAAAAGACGTTAAAGGGAATCCTGATTGATCTAAATCAGTTTTACTCTGATTTCATGTCAAACAGCAACAACAAATGGTTCTGAGTCTCTTCATTGTATTTAATCATTTGGGTTCAACGTTTTCAAGCTTTTAATAAAGTTGATATTTTTTTTATCTTTGTTTCAATTCTATTTAAAGTCTGAAATTCTTATTGTCATTTTTGATCTAATAAAATTATATGTTTGTAAAATATGATTCTTTCTCACTTCGTTTGAAAATAATAAAATCAATGTTTTGCTATAAACTCTGAAGTGGCAGATTAAATCATCTGCATGAGATTAAACAGAAACACTTTTAGATATTTAATTTTAAGACATATCTGACTGACTTATATGACTAAACACTTTTTAAAACTTTACAATATTCATACAGAACTTATGAGAAGGAAAAKAACATTTTGTCTTTTTGAGTCAGGTTTTAAATCTTTAACCAGCAGCAGGGATGAGAAACACATTGTGTCACTACATCCATGTTGTTAAACTGGACTTGTTGGAGCGTTTAGGAACTGAAGCTTTGGTGTCATGTGTTTCCCTCAGGTTTGATCCGGTCACGAGTGCGAGGAGCCAACACCGCCTCTGCCTCTGTTCTGACCTTCTTAGACAGCCACTGTGAGGTTAACACTGACTGGCTGCAGCCCATGATCCAGAGAGTCAAGGAGGTAGAAAAATACACAGAGTTGCTTCACAGTCATCCTGTCAGACTCACAACATTAGTCATTTTCATTTTAGCTGGAATATTTTCTCTGTAGTCTGGCACTTTGTGCTGGTTTTTCATGTTGGATTTTTCCTCTATGATGTCTGAGGCTGAAACATAATGTGGTTTAGTTAACATCTATAAAGAGGGTCTTTCTATAACATGAAGGGTTATGTTTTATATAAAATTCTGAAAAGAAGCACATCCTTACAGTTTCACAATTTATTGTGCCAGCTCTATTAAATACAGACTGAAAAATAGAAATTGTGTTTTTCTCACATTATTAAACTTGGAAATCTTTATAAAATATAACAAAACAGAAATCTGTTAGACTTCTGAATGGGGGGAAAAGAGACAAAAATAATAAAATATGTGAAAAACTTAATCCACCATGAATAAAGAGATGTAAAACTATTATTAATAACTGAATGATTTAATTGTAAAATTTGTTGACCCCTGCAGAATGATTAAATTAACTTATTTCTAAGAACAAAAAAATGAAGCTAATAAAAGTTTGATATTAAGCTAGACGCAGCACTTTATGTTTTCTTCCAGTTGATATGCACATAATAGTCATAGAAAACCAGTTCTTGACCTTTAGCTCCATCTGGACACTGATGTGTCATTCCTGGATGACGAAGGGGAAAGAACTTTATCTTTATCACGTCATAGGAAAAGTGTCTGTTTTCACAAAAAAACCTCCTAATTCAAAAGGGTTTTGAATCATTTATCTTAAATCCCCTTTAATAAATCAAAATCTAAACCAAAGGAAAGCTGCTGGAAAGACAGTACTGACAGCTCATCAGAGATCCAGAGGCTCATTTATAGAGAAAACTACTTAAAATTGGTCAGAAGGTTACTTTGCAGATTTCTCTCAGGCTCTTGGTCACGCCTCACAAAAGGATCTAAATAATCTGTTCAGTGAAAGGGTTTTTATATATTTAATTAGTCACATCTTTTACTGTTCTCAATGAAGATCTCACCTCCTGGCCAGAAAATATCTAAAACAAGTCATTTAAAATTGTGAGCACAATATTAATTGGAGACATATTTTGTTTTGCTCCGTATTGTTTGAATGCAATTCAAAATCATGACCACAGACCCAACAATAATTATTTTTATTTTAACATGCATGAGGCAGGGTTGTCCAGTCCTGGTCCTGGAGGGCCACTTTCCTGTATTACCACTTTGTACTAATACAAAGGATGTTAAAGAACCTTAAGTTAATATTTGTGTTACTAAGAAGTTATTTGTTTTGTGTCACCAGTATCATTATTAGAATATTGTTAAGTTTTTCAAATGCTTCTCTTTAAGGTTGGTTGTATAGAAAATAAACCTGTAACATAGATATGAGACTGGATAACTAGGCTTCAGTATTTTTGGTAAAATAAAATATTTCACTGTTCACTAATCTTACAAATGTACAAATTACAGTAATAGTTGGACTTTCACTTCCCCTCCCAGGATCATACACGAGTGGTCAGCCCCATCATTGATGTCATCAGCTTGGATAACTTCGCCTATTTGGCTGCTTCTGCAGACCTGAGAGGAGGTCAGTTACACACACACACACACACACACACACACACACACACACACACACACACACACACACACACTGCTGCAGACAAAACCCTGCTGCACAAACATTTGTTGCATGTCATCAAGTTCCGTAAGATGGAGCCAAACTTAAAATACAGTAGATATATTTAAATAATGCATAGTTTATGTTGGCCAGCTGTTGATTTTGGAAAGGTTTTGTATCTTGTATCTGTTTTTCTTGGCTTTTTTAGGGGCTTTTCTAAGGATTAGAATTTGATTACCAAAGCTGACGTTTGTTTTGTATTTCAGGATTTGACTGGAGTCTCCACTTCAAATGGGAGCAGATTCCTATTGAGCAAAAAATGGCGAGAAGTGATCCTACACAGCCGATAAGGTATTTCCAATTGTGATATTGTTTTTTATTTTTTTAGTTATTATTTATTTATTTATTGTTATTTTGTATGGATTCTGACTGATTTTTTTTCTGGTATACATTTTGTATACAGAGCATGTAAAAGG